TTTTTAGTTGTAAATGTTTTAGTAATGCTGTTGTCATAAGTTATGGTTATAGCGTGATGTGACTCCGATATAAAAATTTAGTGAATTGCGAAAGTGTTGTGTAGACTATATTTATTAATTAAATGTGAATCATAGCTAGCATTGAATTGAATTTTAATGTAGTTTATTTATTTGAGAAAATTATTCAATATCTCTAAACGGTCTGTTTGTAAGCATTTTTGTGAGCATTTAATGGAAAAGTTTTCATTTCATTTCATTTAAGGATTTAATTTCATATTTGATTAGAAGTTGTGTCTATTCTTAATGTACTAAATGTTATCATGAAAACCCATTTTTCACATGATTTTTATCGACTCTGTTAAGCAGATTAACGACTTTGCATATTACACACATATTTTTATATACACATTATTTTAATACCTTTCCATTTGTCACATACCATTCCCATCGCAGACTCAAAGAATGGTGGTTTGCGGTCATATCGCATAACCCGGTCGTCGACGCGCGGCTCCATTACTGCCGACTCGGAGAACAGCAATGATAACAGTAATACGGGTTCAGTCGTCGCAGTCTCGCAGCCAACGGCCCCCTCAGACACCACTCACGACCCGCAGGCGCAGACACCACAGCGCCGTACGCTCACTGCGTTGCCGCAGCTGCCGGTCCTTAAAGTGGAGTTACCGAAGATCGGCATAACCGCCGGCAAAGCGGGTGATCAGCGCAAGAGATCGGACGACAGCACCGGTACTACTGTGTCGGCCGACGACAACAAACACGCGGCCAAAGATAGCGATAAGAGCGAGACGACACCCGCGGCTACCGTTCCCCTTGAGGGCGAGGACTCACGGGCCAGTCCTGCGGTGCTGTTGGATCCGGTGACGGGTCTGTTAGAGCCCGTGCCTCACAAGAAGGCCTTCGAGCACACGGCTGTCATTCAGGCTATTAAACCGCAACAACATACCAGCGCTGCCACCATTACAACCACCAGTCCATTAATAACAGGCACCACAGCTGGTGCTGTCTGTCAACCGTCTGTGAGCGCAGTGGCGACCAATGCCACCACACAGCCCATCGGCACAGGTGTCATAACCACGCCCACAATGGCGCCCATACCCTCCGTCATCACGAGCGCCTCCATACAAGACATACCGAACATATCGGAACGAATACACGGGTCGACGACTGCTGTGAAACTCAAAACAGGAAAACCGTTTAATTTGCCGGAAGTGATCGACAAACAGCCGGTCATTACCAGCGTTTCGACAGCGACTACCAGCCCATCGGCCACTATAGTGCCCATTACGCCCACAACACCGGCCGCCATAGTCACCACTCCTAAAGATCACATGACATCGACTATTACGTCGGCTCCCATACCGCCGCACCCGCAGCCCATCACTATTACGCCGAAATATCCGCCGCCAGTGGGCCAGCCGTTGGCGCCCATCGCCCAACCCATGCCCAGTCAGTGGCCGCAGAACCTCGTGGCTCAGCAACAACAGCAACAGTCACGACAGTTCCCGGCGCCCACTCCTCACCCATCGGTGTTGACTCAACACCAACACAGACCTCCCATTCCATCCATAACCGGCTATCACGAGTCCAAACAGCAGAAGCTGCCCATCGATATAATACCGGGACTACAGTCGACGCAATCGGCTGTCCCTCAGCCACCGCCCGCCCACTCGAAGCTTACACTCGAGCCAAAGGCGGTGCCGTCGATGCCTACGAGTGTAGTGACGAGTCATTCGTCGGCCGACTCGCCGCTCATATCACCGCCCATTCAGCACTCGAAACACGACTCCTCGTCCGCCCGGAGAGACTCACTGCCCGGTAAGCCTTCGGCCAAATACGCAACGGCGCCGGGCATACAGATTGCCGGCTATCCAACGCCAGCGCACGAGGCGAGCGCCGCTCACATCCAGGCGTCCAGTAATAGGGGTGTCATTGAGGAGATGCTCCAAAACAACGGACATCTCCTGCAACAGCACCAGAAGGAACAGCTGTTGGCCTCCATTCATAGGGAACAACAGCGCGAACAGCACTCGAGGGAACGGTCGCTCACACCTGCCGGTCATCACGAGTCGCAAGCGCTCAGGAGTGCCTCCCAGACGCCCACCTCATCGGCCGAGGGCCTAATACCGCCCCATATGGCGGGTCTACACCTGCGAGCGCCGCCGAGTCAGTCGCCGGCGCTCATGGGTCTGAACGCCGCCCACTTAGGACTCATGCCTAACGACTTACAGGCGCTGATGAACGAACAGATGCGTCAACAGATGAACCAACAGATGAGCCAACAGATGATGTTCATGCATAACAACCCCTACCAGGGCCTGCCCACCGACATCCGGGCCCGACAGGAGGCTCAGGGCCTTGTGAGGGCGGCCATGAATATGCCGCCTCGTTTCGTCTACCCGTCCACTAACTTCCAGATGCCGTTGACGGGCGCCGACGCCAAAGAGCGCGAACGACAACAACAACAGGAAGAGAGGGAACGACAGACGATGCGCGAGAAGGCTGTCGTTGTGTCGGCGCGAGACAAACAACAGAAGGACAGAGAGTCGGGTCGGGACTCCGTGTCCGCCCGTATGTCCCAACAGGAAGAGGTGGACTTCAAGGCGTCCTATCAAAGAGCGGCCGAAGCGGAGATCAAACGTCAGGTCGAGAGCGCGCTGTCGGCGATGCAACCGCCCCCTCCTCTCGCCCCACTTCGCATACCTCCCGGCATACCGTTCCCGCCGGGCATTCGTCAGTTCGCGCCCCATATGCTGTCACCGCACGACCGCTACACCGACAGCCCGGCCATCGTTCACGCCTACGCCCCGGGAAGGCCTCAATCGTCCCATCAGTTGCCGCCACAACTCAGGGCCGAAGAACTCAAACAACAGGAGGCGCTCAGGAGGTCGCCGGTAGTCAAGGGAATGGACGACCGAAGCAAATACCAGAGCCAACCCCCACCCGGAGTTGTGGCCGACTTCTCAGCCCTCCACCGCCAACAGCTGACCAGTCCATCGCCGCACCAGTACTCCATGCACTCGCCCGGAGGCGCCCTCTCCTACCGCAAGGAGACCACACGATCACCAATGCCTCCGCCGAGCGCCGACCCTATGGACGCCCTCCGCAAACAAATGATGGCTCAATACCAGTCCCAACAAAATCAAGTCAAAGACATGCAGCCATCCCCCAGCGCTATGGCACTCAATATCAGCCAACAGATGGCCGCCGCCGGCGCTCACCTCCAACTCCCGCCCCATATGGCGGCTAACGAGGGTCTGATGCGTCGGTCGGCCGTCGCCGGCATGCATCCCATCCAGCAGTTGGGCTCTGAGCCGCCCATTCACGGCCCACCCCCACCGGCGCACGCCATCTCACAGCCTCCGCCCCATCACCAGCAGTCGGGCCCACAGCACGCGACGGCCCCACAACACGGCGACTCAGCCCTACTGCAGAGGTATCCGGTGATGTGGCAGGGCTTGTTTGCCTTGAAAAACGACCAAGCTGCCGTACAAATGCATTACGTGTCGGGCAACTCGCGCATAGCTCGCGACTCACTGCCCCCTCTCACCGAAGGAGGCGTCTCACCGCTCAAGATCGCACAGAGAATGCGTTTAGAGCCTCAACAGCTCGAGGGGTTGTCCCGTAAGATACAGGTGCGCACTGTTTTCAGTTGTTTTTGTGATATATTGTGTATTGTTTTGTGTTATGTGATGAGTATTTTGTTAATCCTTTTTGTATTTTGTTTTGTTGTGCAGTCTCTCGAAGAGCATTGTATACTACTGGCCCTCCCGTGCGGTCGCGACCACATGGATGTCCTCCAGCAGTCCAATAACCTGAAGACAGGGTTCATAACATACCTGCAGAGCAAACACGCGGCCGGTATTGTCAACACCAACGCTCCGGGTTCTCAAGAGGTATGTGTTTCTTGTTTAATAGGTTTTGTTTGTTTGAATTGAATTGTGATTAATTAACACGTGTTTTGTTGGCACCGTTAGCCCGCGTATGTCATCCATATATTCCCGACGTGTGAGTTCTCGCACGAGAACTTAGTGCGAATAGCACCGGACCTATTGCACAGTCTGCAGGAGATCTCGCACCTACTGGTGGTGATCGCCACTGTGTGAGAAACCACTTCCCACACCACCACCACATTGACTATTGACACACCGATTGTGACATTAATTGTAATATAAAAACCAATGAAAACCGACGACTCGACCACTCAATTGACGACATATTAGCGATTTATGCGACACTGCCATTTAAGGACAGGGAACTCAATATCACTTTATGTATAACCATAACCGGGAATTGCATTCATCATCCATACCTCATCACCACATATACACATTCATAACCACATTCATATCATTGACCATTGATTACCATTCATTCAAAACTGATCACTGCTTTCCTCATTCTCATTATTCTTATCATTAAATATATTATAAGATATAAATTGTTATGAAAATCTGTTTTATTTGGGAACTCGTGTGTAGAAAGTGGTGTTCACTCCGCGATTAACATCAGCCGCACTGAACACTGGTATCCAAAATCATACGGCGCTCGCGCGAGTGGTCACACACTCTATACATGTATGAGTACAGAGAGGACTAAATTAATTGCTTATAAGTATAAATATATTGTAATCTTATTTGTGATTAATATTTAAATTTAGAGGCGATTATGATATTATAAAGACATACAAAAAAGCGACAAAAAATAATTTTTTGAGACAAATATTATAATGTTATGGAAAAAACTAATTGATTATTATTGCTATTATTACTGATTACCTATTGGTCTGTAAAACGATATTATAATTGAATATATAAAACAAATTGATGATTGATTTTAATTGATTATATATATTATATACATAGCGTTGTTCTCTATATTTTATGTTATAATGAAAACCTAAAAATCCTTTTGAATGAATGGATATGAATTTTGAGAGATAAATATGTTCATTAACTTGATTTGTTTTGTTTTATCGGAAGTAACAAAAAAAATTCACACAAAATAGTGATCTCGAAGTCATTATAATTATAAATATTATAAATATGAAGTAAATGAAAAGTGAAAATATATTATAAATAGTTTTTTT